GTGAGCGGCGGGGGGGGGGGCGGGCCGTGCACATCGGGCTGGGACCCGCCTCCAGCGCGACCCGCGCATCCTCCGCGCTCTCTGTTCACGCAGAAGCTTCCCCCAGGCTCAGTTCACTTGGCCTTGTCAGAGTCACCAGCTATGGCCACCTGTTGCAGGCGTGGGATAGGTTTCGTTGATACCTGCGCTGGGGGATTGAAAAATGTAGTTGCAAAAGTCAAAGCGGGAACCAAGGACGCAGGTTCACGATGACGCGCTCTGTCACTTCTGTTTAGGTGTTCATACTCCTCCGGGTTTTCTTCCACAAACTGCGAGTCATGGGATGCTACAGGTGGAAGGCCACCAAGTCCCGTGCAACCCCTTCATTTGACATGTCATCTCTCACACTCGTTTACAACAGCTTACTTACTTGGGACCCCAGATGCTATTGTCATCGAGTAACCAACGCAGAAGCTAATGGCAGAAACTCGGATGCTGTAGGAGTTCAGAGCATTCATATGATACTGGCACGTTCTTTATTCTGACAACTTGTTACAGTACAATGAATGATTGGTCCCTCCCTGTCGTTCTCCCCATATCCACATCCTTTGGCTTCACAGTGGGCAGAGCCTATGACCCCGCACTTCAGCACTGGACTTAGCTGTGTGGCTTGCTTGACCGATGGCATAAGGGCAGAAGTTGCAGTATGCTAGTTCCAAGCCTATGCCTAAGACCCCTTAGCCTCATGGACGTGAGAGGACAATACACCAGCTAGTGTGGTGGCCAAAGGAGGATGAGGAACAGGTGGAACACAGCTACCTGGTCTACTTGCAGACCTACTGCGTGAAGCAGAGCTGCTCAGTGCAGCCTTGTGTGTATCAGCCAACCCACAGATACACAAATGAGCTCAGCTAAGGTTGGCAGTACCCGCCAAGCTACTGACGCTTATTGTGACCATCTGTTACACAACAGTAGCTCTCCAACACACACATTACCCGGTGTTAGAAATAAAATAAAAAATAGGGAGAAAGAGGGGTGTTGTCTTGATTTGGAGCTTGGTTCATGGTTTTATGGGCATATGCCTTAATTCTGGCCAATGAAATGTGAGAAGTAGGGATGGGAAAGATTCTTGCTTTCCACCATAATAGACGTTCATATTGGCACAAGCCATGTTTAATTGGATCTTCTGTCTTATGGTTGTAGGCATCCCCACCAGTTCAGTATCCTTGGTCGGTAACCTGTTAGACCATTGAACTGTTCATAACTAATAGAGACAGGCATTGTCCTAAACACTTTTCATACATTATCTGATTGACACCCACATCTCTATAGATGGGGAACATTAGTTCCCTCAGTTGTGAAGCGCCAAGAAACTGAGAGAGAGGTTAATCGGCTTGCCCAAGGTCATGCAGCTAATACATGTAGAACTGGGACTGTTCATACCTAACTTGTTTTATTTACTGAAAATATTAAAATCGAAAGGAAAGAATATCAGGTATGAACTCTATACCCGCAAATATCTCAAAGAAAATGGAATATAAAATTTATCTTGGTGTGGATTTCCTCACAAGCAGACCTTGAGGCGAGGGTTTGAGTGGAGGTTTATTCTGGACGCACAGAGAACACTGGCAGGGGAGTGAGGGAGTGAGTTGGGGAAGACAATATCAGGCGTGAATCAAATTATCTTCGTGAGCAACTGGAGCTTCATGCTGTGGGGATCTCCCAAAGCCAGCACTGAACATGCATCTCCAAGTGACCTACCCGAAGGCGAGGGAGCAGGGGCACTTATACACCGTCTCCACTCAGTCACTGCCTGAAGGCTTCTGCCAGGGCACTGATCCTGGGGCCTCTGCCTTCTGTGCTGAGGACAAAGTGGGGGCTTAGAGCCAAAGGGAGCCCCCAGGCAAAGGGCTGTAGATACTGACTGTTGAAAGTTCAACTGAAATGTCAGGCCTGAGGGGATATGGGTAGAGTACCGTGTCGGCTGTAATCTAACATCTGGAAATTAAATTGAATAGAAAATTATGAGTTTTTGCCCGTGCCACTTGTTCCTGAACATTCAGATACAAACCACTCCCTCCTCCAAATAAACCTGTATTCAAAAAACTTCTCATTGGACGTGATTAGCCTAACCTGTGGGGGCCATCCTGCCTTCCTTGCCCTGACTTATTAATGTCGACTAGCATCTTGCATTCAAGTTTATCTGGTACTTTCTAGCTTTAGTTTCAGCATTTTGAGGCTGTATCTCCTTTTCGTCTTTCAGAACCGATTTTCCCTTCCGTAGGCTTTAATGATGGGATGAACATTACAACAGGAAACTTCGAGGAGGTCAAACACCCCTCAGCCAACCCACCTATTATTTCCTGGGGGTGGGTGGGGGGAGCTGTGGGCAAAGGAGCTGTCAGGTAGTCTGAGGAACAGAGAGGGAACCTGGAAATGATGTGTTGCCACGTGAGAAGATGCTGGGTACAAGTTGCCACATGGAGGCAGGTGTTTTTAATAATCCCACTGGTGCTGCTGACTTTGAAGAGGAACCTGGCAACTGCTCTTCAGGGGCTCTACTCCATTCTACAAAGGAAAAACAATCTTTGATCAGAATGTCATAAAATCGTCCATGCCCTTTCCAGAGCTACGCTTTTTCCCCAATCTATTTCCACTTAACCCTCTGCGTGGAACAGGTATGATGAGATATTTTTGTGCTTCCCAAATTTATGTACATGAGACATGTGTAAAACTTTTAACACTGACAGAGTGCCTGGCGCTGAGATTCCTAAATTATTGAAATATCAGCACCGAAAGCAGAGCATGATCAAAAGAGCTGGGTGAAAGTGTCTAGGCCAGTGTTTTCAAACTTTAGTGTCAGTACAGATTACCTGGGGATCTTGTTAAAATACAGATTCTGTCTGTGTAGGTCCAGGGTTTGGCCTGAGAGTCTTGATTGCTAACAAGACCCAAATGATGCCCCCCTGCTTGTCTGAGGACCACACTTAGGCTGATGGCATCTAGAGATCATTTGGACCAGTAGTTCTCAAGTTCAGCTGCACATTGGATCAACTGGGAAGCTTTGACCGTACTGATGCGTGGGTCCCACCTCCAGAGATTCTAATATCTGGGTTATGGCTTGGGCATGGGGACTTTCAGAAACTCCCCAGGTGATTCTAATAGACAGTCGATGACATGAACCAACAGCCACATTTTACAGATGGAAAACCTCAGCACCAGCCTGAGAAGTGACTTGCAAGATATGCCACACAGGATGAGTTAATGTCCCTGTGTTTCTACCACATAATCCTCTCCCTCAAACTTCATGTTTTCTTGATCACTGTTCCTACTGAGGACATGGCACCTCAGTAGGAATAGTAATCAAAAATCAAAAATGGCACCTCGTAACTTCTAATCTTCTACATTAGTTGTAGCTCAGCCCCACATTCTAGAGCTTGATGGGTTTCCCCAGTCTGTTTCTTTCCATTTCTTCTTACTCAGTGAAAGGGGTCAATGAAGTACATGGCTCTCAATGCACACACTGCCACACTCTGTGTGGCAGGTGCATCTGAAGGTGTACTTTGTTTTTCTTCATCCTATGACTGTCAGGAACACTTTTATTATAGAAATCATCATTAACATTCACTGGGCCAATGTAAGGGAGCTCTATGGTACAAAATCCCAATCTTCTTCCATCTTCCTTCCCTTCCTTTCTTCCCCATCCGTCCTTTCCTTGCTCTCTGTTCTTTACCTCCTTCCTTGCTCAAACATTTATTGGACCTTGCGAAATGCCAGGCCCTGTGCTAGGCCGTGGGGGCTACTTGGTGGAAATGGGTCCTTCAGGCAGTTCCTGTTTCTTTTTTCTGTGGTGAAGTTGGCTGGATGTCTGACACATGGCTCTCAGAATGTCTGATCTTCTTTAACAATAAGATTCTCACCTCTTGAAACAAAGGCAGAAGGAAACTAAGGCAAGATTAAAAGAGAAAAATATGACACTTTGATTCATTTCCCCCTCAAATTTTCATAGCTCTTAGAACTCTCCTCTTGGTGATTGAGGAAGAGAAAGAAATGTATACTTGTGAAATGTTTATTATCTGCTAGACATTGTATAGAGAGTAATTATTTAATCTTGATGACAGCTGTATAAGGTAGGCATCATTACCCCATTTTACAGATGAGCAATGTGAGGTTTAGAGCAGTTAAATTTCTTGTCTAAGGTTACCTAGCAACATCATGGAAAGAACATGGGTTTTGAAGTCAGACTTCAATGGAGATGAATTTTGCTATCAAATTTCATTCTCCCTACAGGGAGTCATAACCTGGTGATGGTGGGGTACAGTTAATTCACCACCAGCAATAGTGAATAATATTTTATGTGTAAGGGAATATACTCTAATGAGGAGCAACATGGCTTTTATCTGATTTTTAAGGGAGTCCATAACCTTTTAAATGTCACTACTAAATAGAAAAATCCCGTTGCCCATGAAGGAAATCTCATTGCCTGATGTTAGCTCCCTTGACTTTTAACCAAATTCATGTTTCCAACTGAAGGCACTCAACTTGCAGGGGCTTTTCTTTCTGTCTTGGGAAAGGGGGGATTACAGATTGAGTCCATCCTGAATACTTCCTTCCTGGTCCATGTATAAATATCCTTTGCTATTTTCCAGTTCACAACTGAACATAATAATAACTTGGCATGCCCCTGCAAGGCTTGTCTATTTATTTTTCCTACATAAATCCTATGTAATAATTTGTGAGCACTAAACCTGGGCACCTTGTTTGGATAAGCCTTTAGAGTAAAG